CTATAGTAAGGCTCGAAATTCCTAGCCGCCTTCTTTCAGGTTACATACCAGAAAACCTTCCATCGCCCCTGAAAAATTACTCTAGTGGACATAACTGTTTCTTGCTTCAGAGACATCATATATACTAATGCGCATAGAAAGTACTGAGTTAATCTACCTGACACTACTTGCAACTAACATAACTTTCTTTCAACTCGCCCATTACCTAAAATATTCATAAACCACGCAAAACCAATTACCTCGATCAATGAACACCCCACAGCAATGCACTTCCTGCAGACCATAACTACAATTAAAAACCTATCTGGACCAAACTTCCTTAGTCGAAAATCACGGACCTATAAAAATGTAAAGCAGTCATTAACCAGTCTATATAAATATGAATGAAGAAATAAAATTAGTAGCTGGAGGTTTAATTACGTGAATTATTTAGAAGCCAGTCTAGTGTCTCTACGAAGATAGTAAAGGCACAAGGTGCAATGAACTCGTGGTTTGTTGTGAGTACGCCACCCACCCATTTTCCATTATACATGAATAAGGGGATGCGTATCTCAATGGCGTACAGGTCTACAGAGTGTTTCCTAAACAGGTGACCAATTCGAGAGGTTGTTCGTTGGTCTTATCAACATTCATTTTGTCCTCTGATATCAAAACTACTTCTATTGAAGGCAAATCGTATTTCGACGTGCTTTTTGACATCCTTTGTTCTAAGGGAGTACAATAATAGTACTAGTCTCATATTTGGGAAAGCCAGGATGAAGGGTTAATCAGAATCCTAGGTGTTAGGGATATTTTGTGGTTGGCTATATTTTAAGGCGAGTATGAGTTATTGCTTGCCTACCCCGCGCGCGTGCGCTGCTAGGACAATAAAAGGAAGAGAGATACAAGCTCACAGCGAGACCACGCAGATACGCCGCAACCCGCATACCGTGAGAACATATATACCCGCAACCGCATACAGTGAGACCACGTGTCTACGCAGCAACCGCATATAGTCAGAAACCGCATATTCGCAGCAACCGCATAGAGTCAGAACCGCTCCCACACCCGCAATCTTCACGCTCCTGCATCACCGCTACGCCAGGAATACGAACCAGAATTAGACAGAATAGCGGATCAAAGGTAGGCGACGACCACATTTCATTCTTGAACCAGCCGCTATACAATTCACTCGAATACTCTAACATTAGGGTCATATTTATAGCTAATCAGCTGGGAAGAAGGGCTGCTGATACACAAAATGCTTGGCCCAGAGCGCCTCTGCATTTTATCCGTCGGGGCCCAGACAACTATGCTAAAAGAGCACACTCACATCTTTAAGAATATATGGGAAGATACGTCAAGCTGCTTATTCGCTTAAGGATTTCTCGGCTATACTAGTGAGGACGTAGCAAAACCTTACCAGATAATTTCGGTTTGTCGCAGGCATTGTGACTGGACACTGTCAGCTAAGGAAACATCTCTGTAACATCAGATTGAGTGACGCATCCGTATGCAGAGGTTGTGAACAGGAAGATCAGACATCCAAGCACTCCAGACAATCCGAGAATACATTCTGAGGGAACGCTGGCCTTCAATGGTCAGCGTAAGGGAAACTCCATCGCATCATCACTTTTTTCAACAGTCTGGGGAGGCTGACGATCCAGCCTTGAGCGACCCTTGGGAAGGACCTACAAAGGGCCCCGTGGGACCTAAGTACTGTAATCTTGTCGGATTCCTCTTTATTTCTGACATTTCGATCTCAACGGTGACCATTTATGAGTACAATTGATTCTGCGGACAATATATTTTATTTGTCTGTCTTCCAGATGACACCTCGTTCGTTTCTTCTTAGCTCTTTACATATTCTTATGCAGTCTGTTACTACAATAGTCTGAAGGGTTCTGTAACAAGGTGAGATTTCCGAAAGGCATCAGTGCAAAACCAGAAAACTTCAGGAGGATACCAAACGGACAAGCGAGCATGAAGTTATGTGTCGTTGTTTTCATGTACCAGTCACTTCAGCCTCGACCGTTTTCAGAGGACTTCTGTTGTCTTCGGTACGATGGACGAGGGACGAGGCTGATGTGTCTGGTTCATTAAAAAAACAGATAACCTCATGCTCGCGTGTCGCTTTGGAGTGCTGGACGTCCTTTTGTGAATGAAACACTTACCGCAGGGGAATTTGCTAGTTTTTCTCGACGCTATCTTAAAATTGCAACGATGGCTTCGTGGATGAAGGTCAGAGACCATGTCATCATAAAAGACAGTTTTGACTATACCTCTTAAAAGGCGTACAATAAGTTTACGTATGTCATGATTTAAATTAATCTGGTGCACTTTAAAATAGCACGCATTCTCAAAGTAGCTGCAATACATAGATCTATCGATATAAAAAACGTTATATATAAACGAACCATATGTCATATGTATGTGGTCAGTGATAGTACATGGTTAATACGTATATTACCGTTACGGTTTAATCCGCAATGTTATTATTTGCTGTGGTATAATCGCGCATTTGAGTTATCTATCAACTGTACAATGATACAGGGTTATAGGATTTAGGAGGATCTATACTTAATTTTGAACAAGACACTTGAGGAGACAGGTAGATGTTATAGTCAGTTACATAACGTGGCCTAAAGACGACTACTGCGCATTTGGAGCAGCACAATGGCTGATATAACTTCAAACACCTTCATTAAATGATGTTCATCAGTTTCGCGAAACTCCCCTGTGTATGCGGCTCTACTCATAGATTACAGACTTGAAGATGTATGATCAAAACAGCAGTATCAGACAGGATTTTTATTTATAAAACAATTGGGAACTAAATTCAGTAACGAATTTTTTGACGAAATTTATTACCAAATTATGCACAAAATTTTGTATCGTGACAGACTAGCTTTGAAAGGAGTGACATGGTCGGATAAAAAAATAGTACAAAGCTCATTCAATTTTTAATTTTGTTAGTCAAACACCTTTTTCCCAGTAACCAATTACACTAATATAATCATTCGAATTGTGGTTAAATGATAAAAAGTGAATAATGTTATCTGTAATTAAGGGAACGTGGATTAATATTTAGTTTTGGTGGTACCGCAAACCTTGATACAAATAATGGAAAACGTTTTTACATAATCAATCGTTCATTGCACTTTCCCAAGAGATTTACACGAGCAACATATAATTTCAGTGAAATTACACCAAGTTTATAATATATAACTATGAGTCCTAAGAGTGATTCTGAAGATGTATGATCCTGATTGACGTAATACTTCAACATATTCAGATTAGTCACGATTAAGGTATAAGCCTTGTTCTTGATGAAAAATGCATATTTCGTCCAGACTACACTTAGAGAACTGAAAGCAGTCGTTGTTAAAATGTATATACTAAAGACAAAATACATAATGTATATTTTGATATACAGATCTGAAACTGGACATTCTTTCCATGATAAGCAATACAAAAACAAAGTGAGTATGCTAATATATGACAGATTTCTAATTAAGTTAAAGATGTAGTGTGTTCTACAATGTAAAGCTTTCCAGCCATTTTTGCATTTGCTTGCTGAGAAGTAAGTGTCTCTGCATTAACTACTGTCAACTGTTTAGTGTTGAAATTGCTCTCTATGTATGTGCATAACAGTTAAGTCGTACGTTAAAACCTTGAAAAACTATCTACTTGAGTAAATATTTTTTGTTTTAGGACCTAATATAGGAGGTACGTCCAAAAATAGCCCAGATTCAATTTTTTAATTTTTATTTTTCAATTAACATATTATTGGTCCTTGTTCCTTTCAAAGAACTTCCCTCCACTTTTCCGAACAAAACAGTTCTGGTGAGCTTCTTTCGGATTGATCTTCAATATCTGTGAGTAATTTGTTTTGATTAATGTCAATGGTCTCCAAATTACGGCCTGTCAGCACTGATTCCACTTTAGAAAATAAGAAAATGAACGCAAGGAGCTAGACTTGGTTAGTGGGAAAGTTGAGGTAGAACAGTCATCTTATTTTTGCCACTAAATCTCTAGTGTATTTTTGATACTTGTGTGCACCTAGGCGGCTATTTCTGTAAAGGACCAACCAGCCTCGCACAAGCACACTATTATCCCTCAACCCAACTCGTTAAGTTGTTGAAAATTTTATCGTATTCCCACTCTAGGCATGATGAACAGATCAAAGCAGACCTTCACAACGTATTGCACGATGATCAAATGCCAATTGTAACTACAAAACACAATTACCGCTTTCGTACTTTATTGTGACCACACAAGAACTGCTATCGATATGTTTGAAAAGATTATCGTTTTTTTTCTCTCCACAAACATATACCTAGAAAATATTTGTAATTAAAATTGCTGTGTCTCAAAAAAAGATGCATCCGATCATTGGCAGGGATATCAGCAGCAGAAAGTTCCATTTTATAGATTTCAAATGTCCCTGCGTTGTATGTAATATATGACTTGCGCTTACATGTTTTTAAAAACAATGATAAATTCAAGCGAAGTTGTGATACGCTTAATTATGATATAAGGACAATAATTTATATGTCAACTTCAGCAAATCAAAAGTAGCATTTCGATTGCCAAATAAAATTGGTCCGCTTCTTTTTAATCATTTGCCATGCGACATTACGGCGGTTGAAAATATTAACCAGTTCAAGCTCCACTTGAAGAAATTTTTGATAAACAAGTGCTTTTATCATGTTATTGAATTCTTGAAAATTGCAATTTAAGATTAGTTGTAGGTTGTAGCATACGAATAATTGACAATTCCAATACAATTTATATTGTGTATGGAAATAAAGGCTTTGATTGATGTTGCCATTAGGTATACTTCGGATGAAACTAATCAATACCCAAATTAGCTTTGCAGTACTTTGAAAAATCTACTAAACGCCGTTTCTCCACCATTACTGTGTCCTTCCGTTTTTCGCTGAAACTCAGCGAAACATATGTCGCAATGAAGCACAGAGTGTAACAGTCCCATGTGATAAAAGTCTTCTTTGTTCCAGGTGGAAAATGCCGTCTGAGTACGCCGTGTATACCGCTTCGGTGCCGATAGACAAACGACTATCGACGCTCTCCATCTCCTCCAAGCCGAAGGACAATGCGGAGTACGCCATCAATAGGTTTTCGCAGAAATACGATTCCTATCAGGAGTTTTTATACAGGCAAGTGTGATTCTCTATTATTGGTAAGAGATGCAATTGAGTCGGTCAGTTCAAAATTTTTTCAAACTAATGGAAACGCTTCCTTGAAAACAGAAGCGTATTTTAAGGATAATATATAGGGTGTTCCTTAATGATATGCGAATATTTACGAGTATGAATCTTCATGAAAAAATAATTTTAGTTTGCTTTATAAACTATGATCCAAAAATGTTTCCTTACAAAAACTCGGGGTGTTGAAGTTTTAGAAAAAAATGGAAATTAATTAATATTTTCAGAACCGCTTCAGATATTTCACTGATATTTAGTACGTAGTGAAAGTTAATAAAGTTGCATATTTTTCAATGCAAAAGTAATTTTTAGCTTAACAGTGGCGTGCGTACAGGTATTGACTTCGATATTTTTTAAGAAAAAAATGGTCCGCCAATGGTTTTTTGCCAAATAAAAATCATTTTTGAATTGCACGTTCAATTTAAAACAAATGATCTCTCCTGAATTGTTATCCTTCGATGCGCTGTTTTTGAATAAAAATTTGCATACTGTTTATCCAAATCGTTGGATTGGCCGCGGTGGACCCCAAGAATGGCCACCAAGGTACCCAGACCTTAACAGTTTAGATTTCTTTTTGTGGGGCTATCTTAAAACACTAGTTTACTCAAGTCTCATTAACAATGTAGAGCAATTAAGAGAAAGAATAGTTGCAGCTTGTGATAGAATAAAAAACTCCAGGGATATTTCAACGAGTGCGCAATTCCAAAGAAGGAGGGAGGAAGCATACATACTAAGTGAACGGGGCCATTTTCAATAATATTTGTAATCATTTCGTTGGTTTTAGTGTTATGTTTATGTTGCCAGTTGTTGTTGTTCATTACCCCTAATGTGTTTAATTTTTCCAATTAAATTAATAATAATTTTGCAAGTTAGACAATTGAACGGTTTTTATTTTTCTACCAAAAAATGGCGCATTGAAGGAAAACAATTCAAGAGAGATTATTTGTTTTGAATTGAACGGGGAATTCAAAAATAATTTCTATTTGGCAAAAAATCGTTGGCGTATCATTTTTTTCTTGAAAAATATCGAAGTCATTACCCATACGCACGCCACTGTTAAAGCTAAAAATTATTTTTGCATTGAAAAATATGCAACTTTATTTACTTTCACTACGTACTGAATATCGGTGAAATAGCGGTTCTGAAAATACTAGTTAATTTCCATTTTTTTCCCAAAACTTCAACACCCCGAGTTTTTTTTAAGGAAACATTTTTGGACCATAGTTTATGAAGCAAACTAACATTAATTTGTCATGTAGATTCAGACCATTAAATATTCGCATATAGTTAAGGAACACCCTATATTTCTTGTTCTTCGAATAATACTCGTAATGCGGAATATTCGTTTCTCGATTTGTATTATTTTCATACTTACGGGATATTAGTACCAAAATACCAATTTTAAATTCACTATCTGCAAAAGTGAGCTTAGGGAAGAAGAAGAAAGAATCTACGACGGCCAATTTCGAGGTAAGAACTGAAGGAGTCTCAGAAACCTTATGATCGCAAATTGTAACCATAAACATTTGTCAATTACTTGAATTAACTTTGGACCACGTCATCAAGGAATGGTGCCCTTTCAACATGTCATCAGTTCCGAAGCGCTTTCCAACAAGAAATTCCTTAAGTTTTGGAAAAAGATGAAACTCTGATGTTGCTAACTCACGGCTGTATGGTATCCAATGTAATTCCCAACGAATCTGCGTCTGTGTTCTTGCCGCAACGTGAGGCCGAGCGTTGCCGTGAACGAGTTACTAAGCACATTTAACAATTGCTGGGTTTACTGAATGACATAGCAGTATAGCCCCGCAACCAACACCGGCCTTTTTTTTATATCGAAACAGCCGCGCAGGCAGAAGCCTAAATGCCGGAACACCGCGGCTGCTATGATGATCCCAAAGAAATTTTGTTAATACGATTTTTGAACTGCCTAAGGTTAGTAGAACTGGGAAAAGCTTCCTCCCGTAGATTGTTCCATAATCTAGACACCCTCGGGACAAAGGAGCGGTCGTATCGGCCAGTTCTGGATGTACGAAGTTTGACACGGTTAGGATGGGACGCCGAAGTCAGGCGGGTCTGTCTGGCAGGCACATCGCGCGGCGGCATCATGGAAGAGAGCTCTGAGGAGCAAAGCCCGTTGGTGTAGCGATAGAAAAGAGCTAGATCGCCGACGACCCGCCGGTGCGAAAGAGTCCCGAGACTGTCTGTTAGAGAAGGGTCATCGATCAGTCGGACCGCCCTCCTCTGGATAGCATCGAGCATGGACAATGTAGTCGGGGCGGCAGCACCCCAAATGTGTGAGCAATACTCGAGGCTAGGCCTTATCTGGGCCTTGAATAGAGTGAGAAGATCACGCGGAGAAAAGTACTTCTTAGCCCTAAACAAATAGCCTAGCTTTTTCCCAGCAGCTGCAGCTATTGAAGAGATGTGTTCGTGCCAGATCAGGTCCTCGGTGATCTGGACTCCGACTAGCCGAAATGAATGGCTCTTTGGTAGAACTCGGCCGTCCATCGAAACTGTATGAGCGCTAGGATGCTTTTTGTTCGTCAAAGTACAGTACTGTGTTTTGGAAGCATTGAACTGTACAAGATTGTTGCGTCCCCAAGCAGTGATAGCCTCCAGGTCTCTTGTCAGAGAAGAAGCCGTCGCTAGTCTTCTTTTTTCCAGCTCAGCGGCAGAGATTGGCTTGTCACTCTGAATTCCTGCATGTAGAGTGCTGTCATCAGCGAAGCTGTGGACTGGGTTGATCGTACAGGAAAGGAGGTCGTTGATATGTAAGAGAAACAGTGTTGGAGCCAAGACCGATCCCTGGGGAACACCCGCGTTGACGTTGTGGGATGAAGAGGAGAATCCGTCAATTACGACGGATATCTTGCAGCCAGAGATAAAGTCAGCCACCCATCTGCAAAGCTTTTCTGGGAGGCCGTAGGATGGAAGTTTGCTTAACACGGCAGCGAGCCACAGCTGATCGAATGCTTTCGTGATGTCAAGAGCAATGACATGAGCCTCACCATGAGACTGGATGAGTTTACTCCACAGTTGCGTGACGTAAGCTAGGAGGTCCCCAGTGGATCGTTGGTGCCGGAAACCGTACTGCCTGTCGCTAATCAAGCTGTGACGTTCGAGGTAGTCCAGAAGCTCGCGATTTATGCACCTCTCCATCACTTTACCTACAACAGAAAGCAGAGCTATAGGCCTGTAGTTGTAAGGGTCGGTCTTAGATCCTTTTTTTGGGATGGGCTGTACATGAGCAAATTTCCTGTTTTCTGGGAAGGTTCCGGATTCATAAGATATCTGGAAGAGACGCGAAAGAACTGGAGCAAGCTCCGCTGCACATCTCTTCAGTGCAATGGCAGGAATCAAGTCCGGACCAGAAGCTTTGTTGATGTCGAGCGACAAGAGCACTCGTCTTACGGTCTTATGCCTGAATGTTACCTCCCGCATAGTGTGGGGAACCCTTTGAATTGACGGCACTTGGGCGTTGGTGGGGACGTCCATGGTGGAGTTGGCAGCAAAGATCTTGGCTAGCACTGCCGCCTTGGCCTCTGAGTCGAATACAATAGTTCCATCCTGACACGTAAGTGGTGGAAGGCTACTGTGTGAGAAGTTCTTTTCAATCTGCTTGGCCAGCGTCCAGAAAGACCGACTGCCATTGCGCTGCGACATTACCCTGTGCCTAACTTTTAAATCATGCTGGTTTTTGGCATTGCGAACCGCATCGTTATATTTGTTTCTGGACTCGACGTCGGCTTGTCTGTTCTCTACAGTGGGGTTTTGTAAGTAGGTTCTGTGTGCCTTGATCTTCTGCTGGCGAGCAGTGTCACACGATTTGTTGAACCAGCCGTTGGACCCTGGTTTAGGAACTTTCACTGTATGAGGGATGTATTCCTCCATTCCGACGTGGGTAATTTCGGTTATTGAAAAACAGACAGCCGACGCATCCGCGGACATTCCGAGAGTGGAGTGAGTTTACGTCCGGAGTTCTTAGTGCTCGAGGGATCCATCATCATTAATTTCTTTGTTTTGGTAGATAACCGACTGCATAGCTTAGGTGTGGAAACATGCGGACATTTATAAGACACCCTGGGAAAAGCTAGCGGGTGGTACTGCCTCGGTCGACTGGTCCTTGTCTACCACCTTCTTTTTGCGTGTTAGTGATGTTAAATAGACCTAAAGTGGCCCGTTGGCGGACTTGTACCGTCACCCGGCAATCGGTACTGAGGTATTCTTTAACGCGTGCACAATCACTTGGACGGGAAGAAGTTGTATACTGGATACAACAACTTCCGGAACAAGCATTTGCGACGGCCCTCGCTCAGTAGGGCCTATACATGAAATATAACGACGGCTTAGTGAAAGACTGGCCAAGAGTGCCTGAGGTTGAACGTACGTCACGTGACATGATCCGAAGCGAAAACTTGTGTTCGTTAAAATGAAAATGAATTTTTTTGCCAAGTCTTTTAGGACATACTTGTACGTAAATTAATTAATAAGGACGTAAAAGCCACCCGCAGACATTCCCATGGACGGTCTGGCGTTTAATGTTTATATCTCAAGCTCGATAAATAAACAAAGAACACGAAAACATAAACAACAACAAAGACGGTGGGATGCTCCGTTGCGGCTGTTAAGCAAGCAAGAGCGAATCATCGCAAAAATCTCGGTAATTTTGTGCAATTCACGTCGGCCTAATTGAGTTGCATCGCGACACTGTCATCACGTCATCGGATAAATGAAAGCTTTGACTCGTTTCACGTTTTCGACTTTTACGGAGAATCTGCAATAGTGCGGGGTCAGAGGGTCAAGTGTAATGGCGGGAATTCAGCCGAAGATGCGCTTTTGTTCTCGCATCGCAAAATCAGCTACACGATTCTTTGTTTTGAACATTTGTCTCATAGCCATTAAATTATATGCTGGCCCAGAAAGAGGCTAGCGGAGATTTAAAAACCTCTACTGGGATATACAGGGTGTCCCAGAAATAACACGCTCGAGTGGCACGGGAGGTAGACCAATCAGATAAAATCAACATGACATTGGTAAAAGCTTTTCAGTTTTAGAGATATTGCCACTTTTAGGTTTTTAAAAAAATCGTTACTTTTTGCTCCTTTTTTGCCTGTTATGGCTATAAAGAACTTCTAAGTTATGATTCTTTCCTAGGCTACAGGGATCTGAAGCATAAGGATAAAAATAAGTACAAGTGTGTTTATACAACTATCTTAATCATAGTCATGTAACTTTGACAGATGACAGCCTCATGGCCCCTCATTGTTCGTCAATTCTAAAAAAGATAGCAACAAAAACATCCCAAAACTGAACAAGTCAACGGCGAACACGGCGAAAATTAAAAACAAAGTGGAATAGCGACAACAAGCCACAAAATATTTAAAACCCACAAAACATTGTGTTATTAATATTTCCTTAGCAGTATGTTACATTATATATTCCTCGATATAGTTGTTTACGCTTGAACTTATCGGCGAGACCTCGTATCCGTAACCTGTGTTTGTATGTGGAATGTTGGATGTCAATAGTCCGGAACGAGGGATATTTTGTCAATTAAGAATTAGACCTAGTATTGAGCGAATGTAATTTCGGAATATATAGGAATAATTCTGAATACCCGTGTTTTCTTACAATTGACACATAGGGAATCATATTGACAGTTTTGAAACATGGACTTTGTAAAATGACGTTTCAGTCATAAGCATAAGAATGAGAGTTGAAAGTTACGAACAAGGGCATTCCACTATGCGTATGCTGATGACTATGACTATGACAAATATTATAAACGCGTTTATGAGAAATATGATGTCTGCAAATTAAGTGATGAGACTGGCAACGTAGCGTTCGATCTTGCAACACTGGAAGCACCGGGTTTGGAGGGGATACAGGGGAACATGTGATCCGCCTTCAGTGCAAGTTTAAACTCACTCGAGTCATTTGCTTATCCGTAGCGAAATATTTTTTTCAATAGTAGAGTGAGATCAATTTCAAGCAACGGTGTACTACTAGGCTTCAGAAGCAAGTTATTTTGAGGGGACTCTATTAAATTATACGTAATTATACTGTAATTATATTTGAATAACAAAATCAAAATAATCAGTCCCATCACTTAATTTACATACCTCGTACGTATTTCAACTGTTATGCTTATGCATGTGATTATTACTCTGACCACAGCCGACGTCAACGTAGCTGTGCTATGACTATTAAAACGTAGATCTTTGAGAAGTCATACAAATTTTTGAACTGTACTAAACTTTCCCCTGTTACGGCGCAGGCGCCTGCAAATACATTTGCGACGTTGCCAAATCTATTGATGGAAACCCATGAACAGCTAATACATCCACAAATAGCCAGGAACATCCACGGACAGCTAGAAGACAACCATTGCACTTCGGACAGCCAATGCGTCGAAAGTCCCAATACAAGATTCACTTGGACGTCGGGTCGTTTTAATTTGCCTAAAAAATTACCTGTTCGATAAATGTCTCTATTGTTTCAGCAGGAACAGCATGTCAAGTCACCGTCAAAGACTGTCATCGACCGGAGACGGAAGCAGCGGCGGAAGCGGAGATTCCGGAAGTAGCGCAGGAAGTGCGGGAAGCGAGGGTAGCGAAGCGGGTTGCAGAGCGGATAGCGACGAAGTGGAGAGGGAAGAACGGCCACCATTGGAGGGACAGATCACGGAGGGGGAGAGGCAACAAGTCGAGACGTTCTTCAAGGGTCTCAAGACACAGGTGAGATTGGATGAAACACCTTTGTAGGAATTATAGATTAGTTTCGAACAATGGACTGAACTGGTTTCAATAAAATGAAAAAGTTTCGCTTCTGAAAAATAGATGGCAGTCAGTGAGAGAAACATATTTAAATGCTATAAATAATGTTTATTTCTCATCTTAGACATCCTGTGGCTTTTTGTCATCTACTTCTGTCTTCGGACCTTCATTGCCTTGTAGTTCATTTGTCTACAATGAACTGTTCTTATCTGGGAATATTTTTATTGCTAGATAACAAAAAGGTGAATAACTTTTGTAAGATCAAACGATTGCATTCATAATGTTTTTCATATGAACAATTTGTAAAGCCCACATACGTATAATACAACTCCCTGAAACATTTTGTACTTTGAGTGACTTCAGTAGATCTATTCTACGGTAAGATCAAAACGGAAGTTAAGATTCTTCCTTTTCAAAAATATTTTAAACACTGTACTACATAAATTTGGGAACACCCCCATGTTTCTGGCTCCATGGGTTATAATACCACAGGGTTTTTACTAAAATCCCGTTTGTTGTTGTAGATATTGGTAATTCAAGTAATTTAACAAGTCCTTTGCACCAATTTGAAAAATAAGATAAAAAACTGTTTTTGGAAAAAAAGATATAAGGAAAGCGTAAGATATGGATATTACTCACATATATGTATATATATGAGCCCCTTCCCACTTCAGTTGGCCTACTTCAAGATTTGTACCAAAATATGCCTTTAGAAACTAAACATGACGAAACCATTTACTTCTAAAACAATTTATTTTCTCAAAAACATTTTAGATACGCTCTAGTCGTAAAAAATACATATTTGAAATCGCTTAGACCTATAACCAATACAACACCTGAACAAATAAACAATGTGCGAATAAATGCGCGAAGTTAACAAAGCAACAATTGAAAGATTACCATTGGGTAACATCACCTTTATTTTTTATTACGGCTGAAATTCTTTGGGGTATAGTGCTAACCAAGTTTTGGTGTAAAACAATCCCATATTTCTTGAAGCTTTTGTCTCAGTTCGGTGATTGTAAGAGCAGGATGTTGTCGTAGAACCTTTTTCATCTCGTGCCACAAAGTTTCAATAGGTGACAGATCTGGACTGATAGAAACCCATTTCAAAAGTGGTACATTATTTTCTTCCATCCATTTTATAGCCTTTTTTGAGGTATGGCACGCTGCACCATCTTGCTGAAACACAAAATCTTGGCCGGATGTCAAACATTCTTCCATCACTGGTAAAAGCGATTCTTCTGAAATTGCCTAATATTTGTTTGTATCCACATTTCCATCAATAAAATGAAGTTTTCCTACTCCCTTTGATGACATACTGCCCCAGACCATAATGGATGCTGGAAATTTCACTTTTCTCTTCAGACAGTCAACACGGAATGCTTATTTTTTTTTGCGAATAACTCTACTGCGACTGTCACCAACACACACTTCGAATCGGGCCTCATAACTCCATTGTATTGCACACCATTGTTGAGGTGTCCATTGTCTATGTTCTTTAGCCCATCTAAGCCAATTTTTCTTTTGCAGTGGAGTTAATAGTGGCTTTTCTTTGGTCTATAAACAAGTTGTGCAACTTTAGGGTTTTTACTTCACTTTTTTTATAAGAAAACTTACCTTGCAAGTGCTAACTCCCAGTTTGTGGGCCTCTCTATGAGTTGTGGGCCTCGAAATTCTCCTTCCAACTGCGTCACTCCACAGAGCACTTAATTGTAAATAATTGGCACGCCTGTTTTTCACGATTATTCTTCTTAATGCTCTTGGGTCGGCATTTGTGATATTACTTTTTTTCACATATGGTGGCTTAATATTAACTGAACCAGTTACGTTATATCTACTAACAGTATTTCTCACAATGTACCGCGATAAGTCTAACAAAGTTGCAATTTCTGAGTTTGATTTCCCAGAATTAAAAAATTTAATTATCAGTAACCGAATTTTCTCACTAATAACCTTTCCTCTACCCATTTTGAAAACCTTAACTACCCAAAACTATTTTAAACGTATTCTGACAACTGTGATTAATAAAAACAATTGTCATGGCTTTTATTTTTCACAGCCACCTATGCGTTATAGACTTATTTTGCATTGAAATGAAAATGGGTTGATATGCTGTAATTGCAACATGTGTTATTTTTATGCTGCAAATTTGATTAGGGAGTGACAAAGTTGGTGTTTTCTACTATATATTAGGTATCAAAATATTCATCGTTAATATTTTAAACCTAAAACACCCTGCTACATTTTTATTATTTGTGTTTGATAAGAAAAAACTAAGATTTCAATAGTTGGACCAACTGAAGTGGGAAGGGGCTCATATATCTCCGATCGAACTTTGAATTATAGTGCCAAAAGCAACAATTCATTCATTTATCCCTTATCATCACATTTCAAAAACATCCCGCCAAGTTGTGCTTAATCGTTCATGCTTCTTTCCGGAAGTGATAAATGATAATGAAAACTAAAATGACAAAAATGCTTACAACAGCTATCTGGTTTCGCGAAAGGATGTCCGATGATAAAACTCGCAGACAAAGAGCTATTGTTTCAAATAACAATATGCACATGTGGGTATGCATTTCAGACTCAGAAACAGAGATAACAGTACTATTTCAGTAGCATAGTGTATTGATAATCGTTTTTTCAGTAGTAACGCTGTACAATTCGCAATATAACTTAACTATAACAATACTCAATGAATAGTGATTATTAAGCATAAAATTACGATTGGAATTATGTATAATGTGACAATCAAATAACTAATTTCAAATTTCTTCTTTACACCTATGTACTCAGAGGATTATTAGAATCCGATTATGTCCATTAGAATGTTTTTTGTTGGTTTGGTTTTGTCAGATTATGTGAAATTACGCGGATCACAGATACTTGGAAGTAAACAGAAATATTTCGTTCCGTCCTTATTACTTAAATTCTGTTTAGTAAACAAAGGTATAATGATGGTTGAAAAAGCATGTCAGAGCCGTATCACTCTAAATAAATATTAACATTGCACAACGGTTTTAATCTCACCGCACGGAATGAACAGATAAAGAGCAAAAGCCGCCCTAGATTTTCTGCTATCGTTTATAGTTATCTGCTGATACGAAAAGTCAATATTAATTCGCCATCGACTATCAGGCAGAAATAGAAGACCTTTGTGTTTTACCTTCTATTGCTAAAAATAATGTCTCAGGTTCATTTGAAAAGTGGTGCGGAAATTGGTACATCAGGTCCTCTAGATATCAGTTTTTTCATAGGAAACAAATAGAATATGTTATTTTTAAAAAGCCTGGTCCTCAAGCTGAAATCGTAGTTTGACATCGATCAAACGAGCACTTTTTGAAAAAAAAGAGCTTTGCTTCAGTACCGGTTCCCCCATATCGGAAGTATGTTTAATAAATAATTGGTATCACATTAGTATCCATAATAGACGAATATACATTTTCATAAAGCTTAAATTTCAGACTTTCCAAGTAGAGTGAATCTGTATTAAATAAGAGTATTTGTCGAACATGGCTCATTTTATTGGTGTTAAACACAAGAGTACAATCAATATTACCCCTTATATTACGCACAGTGGCGAAGCAAGAGGGTTTCAAAGCCCAAATAGCGCTCACTCTGATAGTTTACTGACATTATTTATACCCAGTATTGCCAGACGGAGATTTCTCTGAACAGTAGGATGGGACCAAAAAAAAAAAAAACAGGAGTTGAGCCTATCCCAACAGTAGATTGTAATAAATTTGTATATTCTTCGACAGACCTTTATAAATACAAGGAAAACTAAATAAAACATACTTGTAAGTAAATAAATATCACGTTCTTTCATAGAAAACATAAAATATCGCATTAAGACAGCCAAATAATAATATAGAAATATATAAAAATAAACTTTGCGATAAAACTAATAAACACTAATTTTTCCAAATAAAAATAGTAATAATATACAATAATGAAAATAAACTTTGGAGACAAAACTAGTAAATACAAGTCATTCTGAATCAGTCAGTTCGGAGTTTTCCATATTCATTTCCAAATTATGTAACTCCAGAATCAAAAGAATGGCACGATTGGTTTTCTGATCTCAAGAGGTTTTTGCCATGAGGTAGACCTATAGTACTAGAAGTGGATAACCTATACTAAGTGACATATAAATCCGAACACCCAGTTTAAATGGTTTTATTTTAATAAAAGTTGGTGAATGTAATTATCTTACTGTAAATAACAAGTGAAAAAAATTTCAGCCTTATCAGTTGGACATTCCTGTTTTTATACTGCTTTTTTTTTTAATTCACTAACGCTCTAAAAATGAATATTTCAGCCGCAGTAAAGAATCAACGTTGGCGGATTTTGGTTCTTGACATCCTTTACGATCGGTTACGATGCCTAGAGTACGGAGACCTGTACGATTTCGTCAACTTAGTGAGTTTGATAGGGGCAGTATAGTGGGACTTCGGGAAGCTAACCTTTCTTTTCGGGCAATTGCAGTTAGAGTGCAAAGAAGTGTAGACACTGTGATTAGGTGTTGTCAGGCATGGCTTCGAGAAGGCCGTACGCAAAGAGCAAGGGGCACTGGACGCCGCCGTAGAACAACAGACCGTGAAGATCGCCGCCTAAGATTATTGGCCTTAAGGAACCGTTTCTCCACTACCAGGTCCATTGCAAATGAATGGTTTGCAGAACACGGAAGACCTATTGGCATGCGAAGTGTTTACCGACGAATGAGAAGTTTTGGCTTGTTTTCATACCGGCCACACTGGGTCCTCCCTTTAACTCGAGAACACCGACGTAATCGCCTTGAGTGGTGCAGACAACGGTCACTCTGGGATCAGGAATGGAACAGTATTGTCTTTAGTGACGAGTCTCGATTTTGTTTCGGCATGCACGATGGTCGTGCCAGGGTTAGAAGGCGACGTGGTGAAAGGAGGAATCCACAGTTTTTGTTGAAAGACATGTTC